TTTTTTGAGACGGAATTTCGCTCTTATTGCCCAGGCTGGAGTGCAATGACACAATCTCAGCTCATTACAACCTCCTGGATCCAAGTGATTCTCCGAGTAGCTGGGATTACAGGCGTGTGCCACCACGCCTGGCTAATTTTTTACTTTTAGTAGAGATGGAGTTTCTCCATGTTGGTCAGGCTGGTCTCAAACTCCTGACCTGAGGTGATCTGCCTGCCTTGGCCTCCCAAAGTGCTGAGATTACAGGCGTGAGCCACTACGCCTGGCACATGGCTCATTTTCTTATAAATACCCAGATTTTTCTGTCACAATAGTAAGACCTTAACCATTATACTGGACAATTCAGCATCTAGAAGGTTCTCACTGGTACCTTACTAATTTTCTGAGCACCTTAAAAGAATATGCCAGGCTAGCTGTAGAAGAGGACAAATAGTCTAAGGTCTATCTCGATGGTAGCAATAATGTGGTTGGAAAGGGCAGGCAGAATGTATGAAAAAATAAACAGAAAATGTAAATAATTAGGCCAGGCGAGGCGGCTCACGCTTGTTAATTCCAGTGCCTTGGGAGGCCGAGATGGGTGGATCACTTGACGTCAAGAGAAGACTTGCCTGTTTAAAGGCAAGAGAGGAAGAGGTCTGGAGGGGAATGGCAGAGACTGGATGCAACAGAGGAACCAACGCAATTGAGAAGAGAAACATGGTAGTGACTGCACAGGATGACAGGAAAAGGACAGGACAGCTTAGTCTTGCAAAAGGCAAAGTAACAGAAGAACAGAAGACTTTTAGTATAAATGGCTTCAGCTAAAAGAGAAAAATCAGAACGAAAGCTTATCTTGGACTCTGAAATAGCTTAGAGTCTCCTCAGAGAAGACTACCAGGCATTTTACCAACTATTGCTACCCTAATGGAATTAAAAAGCATTCTTACAAATGTTAACGCTGAGTTCCCTTACCTTCACTTATCTGTAGAACCTCTTCTGTTAAACAGTCTATTGTGATAGGCTCATTTACAGAAGGCAAAGCCTCATACTAAAGACAGGTAGGTAGGCTGGGTGCGGTGGCTCACGCCTGTAATCCCAGCACTTTGGGAGGCCGAGGCAGCGGATCACAAGGTCAGGAGATGGAGACCATCCTGGCCAGCATGGTGAAACCCCGTCTCTACTAAAAATACAAAAAATTAGTTGGACATGGTGGCACACACCTGTATTCTCAGCTACTTGGGAGGCTGAGGCAGGGGAATCGCTTGAGCCCAGGAGGCAGAGGTTGCAGTGAGCCAAGATTGCGCCATTGCACTCCAGTCTGGCAACAGAGTAAGACTCTGTCTCAAAAAGGAAAAGGGAAAAAGAATAAGGCTGCTCTTCACACCTGTTTGTATTTGAATTCAAATTTTTTTTTGAGACAGAGTCTCACTCTGTTGCCCAGGCTGGAGTGCAGTGATGAGATCTCCGCTCACTGCAGCCTCCACCTCCTGGGTTCAAGCGATTCCCCTGCCTCAGCCTCCCAAGTAGCTGGGACTACAAGCGTGTCCCACCACGCCTGGCTAAATTTTTATATTTTTTAGTAGAGATGGGGTTTCACCATGCTGGCCAAGATGGTCTCAATCTCCTGACCTCATGATCCGCCCACCTTGGCCTCCCAAAGTGTTGAGATTACAGGTGTGAGCCACCGCGCCTGGCCAAGAGCAGCCTTTCTCATACCCCGCCAGCTCACACTCTCTCAGTTGTAAAAGGTAATCCATCCCACCTAACTGGGCTTTATTATTTTTCTTTTTTTTTTTTTT